CCGATGTCCCTCTTCTTTTTGCCCAGGTGGACACGGTGCACCCTTGGTGGTGAGGGGAGACAAGCATGGCCACAAACATGGCCGACAGTGCCAACCACCTGCCATTCTTCTTTGGAAACATCACCCGTGAGGAGGCTGAGGACTACCTGGTCCAGGGTGGAATGAGTGATGGGCTCTACCTGCTGCGCCAGAGCCGTAATTACCTGGGTGGCTTCGCCCTATCGGTGGCACATGGGCACAAGGCACACCACTACACCATCGAGCGGGAGCTGAACGGGACCTACGCCATCGCAGGCGGCAGGACGCACGCCAGCCCTGCTGAGCTCTGCCACTACCACTCCCAGGAGTCAGATGGCCTCATCTGCCTCCTCAAGAAACCCTTCAACCGGCCACCTGGGGTGCAGCCCAAGACCGGACCCTTTGAGGACCTGAAGGAGAACCTCATCCGGGAGTACGTAAAGCAGACCTGGAACCTACAGGTAGGCCACAGCCAGTCCCACCGCCATGCGGGGTCTCGTGCACTCATAGGCTCAGGAATTCCACACAGGCACCCCAGTCTGTTCAGAGGGGTGCTTCAGATAAGCAGCCATCTCCTTAGTCATTAACGTGGGCCAAAAATTTTCTCACTCCAAGAAGGCAACCTTTACTCTTTTGTGGTCACAGTTGAGAGGGCGGCCCCTGCTTGCCAGCGATGTGGGTGTCTTCACCGCAGGAAACCACTGTCACCCAGTTCATGATGGGTCCTTTCAGGGAGACATCACAGACACCTCCCATTCTTTATTTACCTAGGTGGGTGGGGGGGGGTCCTACTAGACACATTGATTGGCGCTTGATTTTATAGCTTCTTAACATCTCCTGCAGAACATTCTGTATCAGCACACACATAACTGTGCCAACCGGTTTGTGGCTGCCTGATATTCCTTCCTACTCACCACAATTTATTTAACTAACACCTAGTGATGGACACTTTTATTGTTTATAAATAATGCTTCCAGTAATATCCCTCTATACACCTTCTTCTGAGCCTTCAGACAGTATCTGCAAGATAACCCTGAACAGATTCGGTTTGCCACAACAAAGGATGTGTGTGTTTAATTTGTGTGTATTGACAAGTTGTCATCCAGAAAAGTCCCAGAGGCTGTGACAACTTATGTACCTGCCACACTCTCAACAGCACTTGATGTCAGGAGTCAACAGGCTGGTTGACATTCTCCTTCTCAGACTTATGAGTTCAGTCATTCTGATTGCACTTCCTGGTGTGTGTACCCTGTGTTCTGCTGTGTTATCTGATACGTACAGAGTTATGACCACACAAGCTTTTGAGGATTATATTCAGTGACTCCCTTCACTCTTTTAATATGTTCTGTACTAAATTCAGTCTTGCAGACAGATAATAATACTGTGTGCCCAGTATTTTTTATTAGCATTTATTGGATGCGTCTTAGGCCATCCTTTTACTCTTCTCAAAGTCAAATAAGATTTATTGAGTTGTACTTTATATACCATAAAATTTATCCTTTTTAGGTGTGCAGTTCTATGAATTTTGACAAACACATAGCATAATGTAGCCCCCTCCCCAGCCAAGATATATAACAGTTCTATCTTCCGTCAAGCACTCTTATGCCATCCCCCACCATAGCCCCTGGCAGTCCCTCATCTGATTAGTCCTATAGTTTTGTCTTTTCCATAATGCCGCATAAATGAAATCACACAGCATGGTGCCTTTTCAGACTGGCTTGTTTCACGCAGTGTAGTGCATTTGCAAGTCAGCTGTGTGGCCTTGCCTGTCAGCAGTTCATCCTTTGTCCTGGCTGAGTACTATTCTATACCCTTTCACTTTGACCCCGATTTGCTTTGTTTTGCAGGCCTCTCTAGTATGTAACTTATCACTGCTTTGGTTATGAAATGAAATGAAACTTATCATTTCATCTGTGAGGCCTGACAAAATTTTCCTGCTCTCCTTCTTTTCTATCTTCCCTCTTCCCTTCCTTCTCCTAGTTTGGGTTGGTTATATTTTTGTTTTTTACCTATTATGGTTCTTTTATAACTTCAAACAATCAAACTTTGCTTCTTCATTTACAACTGTGAAGAATATCTGTTTCTCTCCCACCAAGAACGATGAGGAAGTGAATTCACTTAGCTGTCAGCCTCTTTCCCATTTTTGTTTTCACTTTGTCGTTTCTGCATTGTCAAGGTCTGTCTCCTGGACGTTGCCTGCAGTTTGAGGCAGCAGTATGTGTAATTGTGCACAGTGCAGCCTTGTAGAGGCAGGCAGGAAAGCACATGTCTCTGTTACACACATCTTAAGGCCTCCTAATTGTTAATAAATAATCGGATTCAATGTAGAAAAATCCGTTCCAGTAGACAACGGATCTAAAAAGTGCAGGAGGCCTCACAGATTATACCAGTGGTTTCTAAAGCCTGTGTGGCTTTTAAAAGGCCGATAACCTTAGTATTCTAAAATTTATGTTGTTATTTACACACTTGAAGGTATTTTAATAATATATAAGATCTTACTGGCTTTATTTACTGAGTGAATAAATGAACAAACAAATTTGATTGTATTTTGCCATGTCAGGACTTAGGACACATTGGAAATGATTTCTGTGCCATTTTTCATTTAACTTAGAATCTCTCTGCTCTCCTCCACTTGTGGCAGGGCCAAGCTCTGGAGCAGGCCATTATCAGCCAGAAGCCTCAGCTGGAGAAGCTGATCGCCACCACAGCCCATGAAAAAATGCCCTGGTTCCACGGGAAAATTTCTCGGGATGAATCTGAGCAAATTGTCCTGATAGGTTCAAAGACAAATGGAAAATTTTTGTAAGTATTGTGTCTTTTTCCCTTCACCTCATACTCCCAGGCCTGCTTGGACAACGAGGGGTAACTTGGACTTTCCATTACTGGACCCACACCACCGCGGGAAGTGGCTACACGTTATCACCTGGCACACCATGTTACTGGCCTGCTATAAGACAATTCCAGTCAAAGCTGTTACTTGTAATTCAGCATTCTTTTTGCCCGGTCTGCGTCCAAAGTGAGCACACTTCTTGGGCACCGAGGGACATAATCGAAGGATAATGTTTTTCAGTCACATAATCTGCTTTTAATGGCAAATGTAGGATGTTTAGCAATGTCTGTGGCTATGCCTTCAAAGTACAAACACCACAGTTTGTTCATTCACATTTCATCCAAGATCTCAGACTTTACTTCTATTTTTACTTGGAACAAAGTGCTAGTAGGGTGGATATTAAATAAGATTTGCTGAGAGTAACTCGAATGAAAGGTAGTGCAGGTAGATCACAAGCTGGTTTGCACACTTCAGCCTTATAACCTTAGAGATAAGGTGAGCATCCCAAGATCTGCTCATCGTTGTCCTTAGTGGTCAATGTAAATCTCAGTTCTAAGGTCCTAGAAATGCAGTCCACCTTGAGGCCACGTCTGTGGTCAAGAGAAGGTAAGGAGCTGTCTTGGTCAGGTGTTAACCTTATTCCCGAGGTGCCTTGGCCAAGGTGACACAGTGGCACTGCCAGCAAGGCACACTCACTTGTTCGTCACTGCTCAGTGACCCTCCAGAGATGCTAACTGGGTGCCTCAGTGGACAACTATTCCATTCTTACGTTGGACACTTACCAAGGGCAATGTAGGCCCATGATCAAGCATGCAGAATAATACTTACCTAACTTTGTAAACTTTTCTTAGCAATTAAATGTTTTTTTCTAAGTTTCTATTTTAAGAATTTTCCTCAGACTTTACCATAATACCTATTATTTTGGAAATGATTTTAAACATGTACTCCTTAAAAAAAAAAAAAAGTGATCCTAAAAATAAGTACAGAGCTGCCAGATTGACACCAGCAATGCCTGGAATGATGGCTTGAGGCAGCGGTCCCCAACCTTTCTGGCACCAGGAACCAGTGCTTCTATGAGAATCTAATGCTTGATGATCTGAGGTAGAGCTGTGGTGGTGATGCTAGCTAGTGCTGGGGAGTGGCTGCAAATACAGATGAAACTTCGCTCACCCACGCACTGCTCACCTCTTGCTGTGTGGCCCTGTTCCTAACAGGCCACAGACCAGTACCAGTCCATGGCTTGGGGATTGGGGACCCCTAGATTAGTGGATACAGTAATGGCTACTGGCAGAAACCCCATGGTACGGGAACATCTTTTCTTCAATGCAACACCTATCAGTTCATTTCCCCCTGAGGTTTGGACTTTTACTATCTTCTTAGGAATAATTTCCAACACAAATGTCATGGGACTACATACACAGCATCTTGATGTGATTAAGTCAGCTCAAATTGTATAACCTAAACAGTGAGTGAGACCTCCTGACTTCTCGCTGGTTCAAATACCTGCTCTCAGACTCGCTGGAGGACAGCCACAGTCAGGGAGGGCCACCCACTCCGCAGTTAAACAAGAGGGTTGCTGTAAGCAGCACCTGCACTGGGACAGCCCAGGGGCTCTGCCAGCTGTCTATTCCTTCCCCACTGATTCTTCTCAGGCTTCATTCACATTTTCCTAAAGAATGTGTCTCCTGCCTACTTTGCAACCATTCAAATCAGCTTGTCCTTCCATGAACCAACATTTAAAGGCATCCATAGTTGTTTAAGGCACCAAATGCCAGCAGTGTCATGTTGCATTGATTATGGTCATCCCATGTACCTTAATGACACTGCTGACTAACCAGTATTATCTTATATTTTGTTTCTCTTCACTTATTTAATGTCCATCAGTCCCACTTATTCTGAATGCCATAAACTCAGGTACTGATCGCCATCACTCAAAACAGTGTCTCAGTGGGAGAAACCTTTCTGGGTAAAGGGACATTTAAGCTGCGTACTGAGCAGTGAGGAGAAGGCAGTTAGTGGAGAAGGAAAAAAAGTGTTCCCAGGCAAAGAAAGTGTCAGTGCAGAGTCTTAAGGGCCAGCACCATGACCTGAGCATGGCTTGGCCAGGAGTGGGGACAGGAGTGACAAACTGTGCAACAGGGAGGCATTCGCACCAGACAGGAATTCCTTTCTATGCGGGTGGATTGTCCACTCAGGAACACTTTGAGAGTGAGCAAGGAAGAAACGTAAATTAGAATAAAGGATGAAGAATGAAGGCTGTACCTTCGGTTGGGTTCCACAAGATGGATACAAAGTCCAGAGGAGATGATATAAGCACTGGTTTTCAACCTCATATGTGTTTGGGAACCACATGGAGGTTGGTTAAAAGCACAGATTACTGGGTCACCCCAGCCCCGAGTATTAACTCACTAGGTCTAAGTTATTGCCCAAGAGTTTGCATTTATGACAAGTTTCCAAGTCATGTTGACCCTGCTGGTCTAGGGACCACATTTGAACCTATTGGAGATGCCCGATACCTACCTAAGCTATAATAAGAACAGTGATCATTTGAGATTTTCAGCATTCA